TCCCCCGGCCGGGTTAGACTATTTTTCGTAAAGAAAATGTTGCCCATGAGGAGTCGAAAAAAGATATCAATGAACTTTTAGAAAATTAAAAAAATCATACCTGATTTCTGGTCTCTTTGTGGCACGATGGAAGTGTCCATAAACCTAAACTGCAAGTAGATAAAAGCATCACTGATTTGAAGTCATCTAAATTGCACCATTCGTAATTAACGATTAGTGCCTCGTCAACTGACATTTGCAAGGTAAATGAAGTGCGTTTGACATCTTATAAACACCGCAGTCTCTCACTTCACAGCTTCTTAGAGATTTAGGTTCATTTGTTAAGTATCGTATTTTTCTCCTTAAACGTTTTGGCCCATTTCGTAAACTCGCTTCGCAATGCCGGAGAATCAAGTTGCAAGACGTTCGCCTTATTTCGTAATGTACTAAGGAGAAAACGTCAGTAAGATAATTATTACATCTCAAAGTTGTTTACTCATGTTTGCATTGAGAATCAAATTGGGCTCAAACGACAAAATTTTTTTTGCCATCTTTCCTGAAGCACACTGACAGTGAGCAGAAAAAAGTGTCAACCTATGGTAACTTATGTTTGCAAAATATTAGTAGTGAGGTCAATGAGAATCAAGTTGCCCTAAAGGACAGAAAATTACTTTTCTTTTTGACAGTCATTTGTTTATTTCTTTTTGTACCGGCCATTGTGTTCAATTTTTTTCTTGTGACGACCGTAATACCCAGGAGAAGTTGGAAACAATGGTTATGCAAAATTTTGGAGGTAAACAAAGTGCATTATAGGCAACGTGAAAATGGTCAATTGTTGATAGTCTGAACTGGTTTGCCTTAACTTCGGTAACTTGAGTTTCTGAAACCAATATTATGCTTCATCTTAATTATTTGCTCATCCTCATTAGCCGTTGCAATATAAATTTAAAGTCAAATATAAATACTGTCGAAGGCGAACAAATAACTTATAAAAAAACCTTTCCACGACATGAAACACCGTTGGGAAAAAAATACGATATTTGGTTTTGTCTCATTCAAAAATAATGTCTTTTCTTTAGAACCGATGTGCATTAAGCTGGCTCACACAAACTACTTTATTGTATGCGCCTTTTTTTAATTAACGCCACGCCAAGACGCATCGCTAACGAGTTGCAAATGATTTGTATACTTTCCCAGATGGTATCGTTACACTTACGTCAACTTACGTAAGCAGCCTGCTCACATGCTATTTTTTCTTCTTTGTTTGATTTCAACGTCAACTTCGACTTAAGTTAGGAATAAACGTTTTACAAACGACTTGTCCGCATGTAGCAGTGCTAATCCATTATCATCTGACTTCTCAACATAATTGTTGCCTCTTTCTAAAATATCAACAAGCAATTGGTGAATGACGTGAAGCAGTTTTGTGAATTCACCATTTTCTCGCCCCATAATGTAAGATCATGTAAGGGAATCCGGAAAGTCTGGAATCCTGGGCTTTGGAATCCGGAATACAGCTCAAGAATTGCTGGAATCCAGGCGCGTAGCGGGGGGGTGGGGGAAGGGGTTTCGAGGGGTTCGAACGAATCCCCTTTGCTGGTCAATGATGGAGGACTAAAAACACAAGCTGTTAATTTTCAGCTTTCAGCAAATAGTGGAGGAATGGAAAACAAACTTTGAGTGTTTTAGCTCAGTTTAAGTTACCCTGCAAGAAAACGATAACAGTATCGGGAAAGTCCACCCGAGGACGATGCAATTGCACAGTTTGCTTTACGAAACGAAATAGTCCTGATGTGAGTTGAAAATTAAGTAGCCCATGTTGTGGCCCCAGTATACCCTAGTGACCTTGTATTATATGTAGTCAAAATAATCCCACCATTGAAGATATTTCCTTAACAGGCGTTCCGGATATGACAAATGGAGTCTCAAAAAACGAAAGGCGGGAAATACGATTTGGGTGGATCTAGGTGATACGTGTTTAATACATATTGACGTTTGACGCTGCTTTCAGTACAAAGATAGTGGGGCCGGGGAACTGGGGGGCTTAAGCTTTTACTCCGAGATACCTGGCAGCAAACGTCGAGTTTTGTCAAACGTTTCGTGTACTTAGCCGGTATGTATCACTATGTATGAATGTTCCAAGTCAGACGGAAATGTTATTGTTATGACTAAAAATACCAGTTATTTTAGACTTGATCGAGTTTGAAAAGTTCACGTGGAGACTACTGAAAAGAGCATTTCCAGGTTTCTAGATTTCAACATTTTCTGGGGGAGTAATTTGCCCCAGAGACCCCTAAAGGCTCGCGCCTTTCGCAGTATTTCCCGCTGTTAAGAAATATTCGTATCAGTACGAACACCCCTTCTCAAACCCCAGCTACGCGCCTGGTATCACACTAAGAGAGGAATCAAGAATCCAGGTTCCGCTGACAGAGACTGCAATCCAGTACCCTGAATCCTGAATCCACGGCGTGGAATCCAGAGTCCAAGACTGTGTCGGATTCCCTCACATGCATGAGGCGAATTTTGACAAAGACCATAATACACCTTGTTTTAGCCCGCAAAATTTCCAATTTCCCCTGGTTATTACAGTCGTCCCAAGAAAAATCGAATACGATCTTTATGCAAAATTTTGGGGGGTAAACAAGGTGCGTTAGGTAATGTGAAAATGGTGAATTCTTTTTTATGAAGATTTCATATTAATATTATCTTAATATTATTAGTTGGAATGATATTACCATATCATTACAGAGTTTTAGGTCAAATCGAGAGAAGGGATTTTTGTGAATCAGCCTTGGCCTTTAAACCCGGCGACCATGGGTAGATGGTCGTGTTGCACTCCCCCGGGGGGGGGGGTACTCCCTTATATAAGCCATATAGGTATGTGCCGCCCCATTAGAGATTTATGCGGTGGATAGTGCTATCCATCTTATGAACAACTGGGCCCTGTTGTTCTTCATCCAAGTGAATTAACTCCTTTTTTTTTAAAGATTCCTTTAACTTGACGAAAAAAACAAATCAGTAAAATAAAAAATATTAAAGAAAGGAGAAGGAAACTAAGTTGAGAGTCATCCCTTTGAGTAAGTTCCCTCCCCCTGACCAAACCTTTTTTATTGTCCAGAAATAATCTACAGTTTTTCTGTGATTCTTTTTTCAAGCTAATGAATAAGCTTCTATTGACAGACACAATGGAAAATTTAGGTCACGAAGAAAATCAGTCACAAAATCATTTAACAAAGACAAACCAATTTATTGACTACACTTTTGATTCACAAGGCCCACATATCTACATTCAACACATTTATGTTAGTTCTGTACAGCCTTTATATACATAAATGCACGGAAACAAACTTGCACGCGAAAGCGCTAATTCTACAAAATCTTAGGCTTCCATCATAAATTTGAGGCAAAAACTAAGATTTCCTTGTCTCCCAAAGGCTAATGAAAGTTATCAAAGGCTTTAAACAACCCGCTGATTATAAGTTCTGAAGCTCCAGTGATTGTCTAAGTTCGTCTAAGTCAGCATTCGTTTCAATATTTAAGAGAAAACTTAACTGCTAAGTGGTATGACTAACCCACTTAAAGCCCTTTCAAACTGGCTTCTGATGACAATAATATTTTTCCAATGTTCTACCAACAAAAATTGACATTCTATACATGACATACACAAAAAATGTTATACCCTGTAAACAGTTTTTTTTTCCTTTCTGGGAGAAATTTGCCAACAATTCAGATACTAAAAGTCCAAATGTTTCAAGCTGAAGGGCTGCTGTTGCAGCCACCAACTGGCTATTTAATACCACAACCAGAATGAAGATGGTTTGAGATTTTTAGCTTAAAACTAAACAGAGAAAATACATGATTACCTGCTTTCCTAATGTGCAAAGCCTTCTTTCAGATTACTTGTTTCCCTGAAACGGTATTGTGGAATCAAAAACAAGGCAGCTTTGCCTTTGTTGGGGCAAAAGAATTTCCTGAGTGTTTACTTATAATGACAATTCACATAATATCATTATACATGTATGAGTAAATACTCTTATCTACAAGGTTTAGTATTCACAGCCACGAAATTTCTCTTGATTTTGATTCAAAATCACTTTTTGAAAAAGTGGATGAATGCATCGTAGAAGCTAATGTACTTTAAGGATCTTCTATTTTTGCCTATAAGATACAGCACAAAGAGCCAAAAACAGCCTAGACTGCATAGCAGGCACTTGGAAGAAAGAATGGGCGCACAAGAGGGAGACATGCTCTCTCTCCCCTCGCATGTCTCCATCTCATGCGCCCGTTCTTTCTTGCACCCACTACCTCCAAGCCCCTGCTAAGCAGTCTAAAAGAGCCAACAACTTCAATCTACACTAGCTTTTTCATGTCTGGCCATTAGACAGTGCAAAACCAAAACAAGTCAACACAATAATCATCCCTTGATATTCACACTTAGGATTATGTTAACAAAAAAGAAATGGCTAAACTGCCCTTGCAAACATTCAAAAAGGCCCCAGGTTAATTTTGAAAAGGCTGGTGTACTGTTACCTTAGCACAAAACTGTGCATCAGGAAAAAAAAGATAACATACGATGGAGGGTGATGGGCAAAAGAAAACAGGTACTGGTTGCATGTATGTGACTCTAGATAAAACACTTGCTGTCCTTTCATTTGTGAAAAAAAAAGAATGATATGCCCTTCGGGCCTTTTTTGAAAGCATTCCTTTAATACTGCAAGTGAGTTGCATTCTTTTCATTAAGTGTAAAATATTATTTCAGGAAGCTGGCCATCTTCAACAGAGGTTCCATTATTATTTCCTGTAGCGTATGAAAACTGGAAAATAATTTTCTCTTTCTGCTCTGTTTCATAAACGACTTTCTTTCCCCCTGACGTGCCATAATGGGAATCAGGTCCTTTGAGGGTTGCACATGCAGTGTAACTAACTCCAGAGAGAATCTCCACAGGCTCCTTAAACATCACGCGAAACGTAGAGTCACTGCCATCACTGCTGAATGCTGTGTCATTGTGACCACAGATTTTATTAGTGTCAGTTGCAATGATTTGAATTGTTACCTGATAGTCACTTGGACCATACATGGACCCATACAAGCCAAAGCCCACAACAAAGATGCGGCGATTACAGCTGAATCGTATCCTGTCACTGGTGCCACTATAACCCCAGCGACTTTCCACCTTTTGAAAGCGACAGATTGCCTTTTCTTTGCCGGTAAGACAGCAGCGTGGCCTGTCAAGAAACTGGACCTGTGGTTTAGGGTTGACAGTGAAATGAAGGAACATGCTGACCACTTCCTTATCTGTTAGGATTCCAGACTGTGCAACACTAACAGCAAACTCTTCAATACTCATCAGAGGAAAACGAATCATGTACAAGGCTCTTGACAGAACATTTCTAAAAGGAGATAAAGAAACAAAATAAATGGTATTATTTTTAAACTAATTATTGTAACCCTTGCCAAATTGAAGTCTACTGAATTTAGCATTTTACACAACGCTAATGGTACTCATATATGAGATCATTTGACCAGGCTGGCTTGGTTTTTTGAGATCTTACCCCACCACTATTTTCTCTGCTAAAATTTTCATGTTTCAATGAGTTTATAGGTTAACCCAACTATGAAAGAGATGCAACAGGGTACTGTTCTATGTTTGTGAATCATACAGTATGCTCTTGAAATTACTGATCCTACATGTAACCATACGCAGGACACATGTTAAATTTGACCTTAGTGCACACAAGTCTCTCCATAACTCAGTGGATAGCTGAGCACTCATCCACTATTTGGAAGCTCATAGGTTTGAATCCTGTCTGGGACTCAAGATTTTTCTTTGTCATGCTTGTGACATGCTGAGGATCACATCATTGTTTTTTAGTCACGAAGCTCATAGAATTGAAGGAAAGTGAAACACAAAACAACACAGAACAAGGCTCAATGTTTCTAGCATGAAAAAAAACTAACATTGAGGACACTCCTGCCAGCAGTGCCCTCCTTTTGCTTGTTCAATTTTGACATTCTCAAGAAAGAACCTGCAGAAATCAAATAAGGTCTTTGTCGAGCATGCAATTCATGTTGCGAGGATACAGTTTTGAACCCAGGTCTAAAAAACCAATACTGTTTATAATCTGACCTTTTATTTTCTGAGGTGCTTGGTATTCTCCGTCTCTGACACTCATGCTCAGCCCAGCGCAAAGCTGCCGCGAAGAGCTGGTTTTCACGAATCGAGAGAGTATCCCTTTGCAAAACAACACAGAATGTGTCAAAATCAATGTCTGTAAATCCCTCAGCCGCAAGAGCTTCTGTGGTGTTCTTATCAATGCATTCAAGGCAAAGGGCAGCTAACTGAGGCTCATCGAATAATCGAGCCTGACTGAGCAACATAAAAGCATTGTCAGCACTCAAATTCTTTTTCAAGAAATCCACACAGGCGTTCTCTAACGTTGGAACCGCGTATTTCTTGGCCGTGTACAGAGTCGTCATCACTGTCTCTGGTCCGATTTGCACCTCGTCTGTATACAGGAAGCGAAGTAATGACTGGAAAGCGGAATATTCAACGTCGGGCAATTCTACTTCGTCGGATTGGGCCGAGATACCACCATTGAACATAGCATCGAAAACAGCACTTCTTACAGCCAGTACAAACTTGTGAGCCGGTATACGTCGCCTTTGAGTACCTTTTCCGACCATAAAGTGTACATCGCTTAATATTTCGTTGTTAAAAAGGAAGGAAATTGCATCTTGAACTGAAGGTTTTTCCGCCTGCCAGTTGTATGGGGATGAGCTCATTTCGCAAGATATATGTCATACCATTGGTTCTGCAATCTGGACAGAGGAGAACCTGATAGAGGTAAAACAGAATGATTGTTTGCTGTGAAATGGGTATTGAAATTTTTGCCTCGAGGTATGCATACCTACCCTCCCAATGCAGAAAGCAAAACACATCCGATCGCGGCTGTGTTGGAAAACAGACCATAATAAGGCAATTCTTTCACCCAAACACGTTTTATAAGACGCATTTTGATTGGCTAATTCCAAACTCAGCCTCAATCGTCCAATCACAATGATTGTTTGATCCACGTCGAAATTCGATCAAAATGGCGGCGCGAGGTGAATGTACTTCGTCGTTAATCTCAATAAAAGAGTTCAAATTACAGTTTCAAGAACTTGATCTCGAAGAGATGGCGGGAGAGATGAACGTGTCCGTGGAGATAATGACAGACTTGACTGAAGTGTGTAGGTAAGATTAATCATTAGGAATTTTAAGAGGCTGTTTCTAAATGTAAAAAAAGCAATGAAGAATTGTTTCAAAAGTGAATCAGAATTATTATTCAATTCAGACAGTTAACTTGATAACATCTAGCCCTAAAAAAAAGAAAATATATTTCTACAGCGTAGCTTAAAAGGGATAAGCTGTGCGATCTCAGGCAACTTTTTTATGCCCCATTTCCATGTATTTCCATAAGGCTTGACCTCCAGCGAGTCTCTAGGCTTGATCTCCAGCTGTGACGCCCTGCCAGGGTAAAATTCCGACAAGCGACATGGCCTTGAGACAATGACATTGACAAAGACACAAAGATGGCTTGAAACTGCGACAGTGACAGAGAAAAATGCAAATACAGTAGTAAAATACCGACGGTGACATGGCTTCCTCCTCAATATGCCAGGTCAATATGTTCCAGGGTCGTTGTTTAAATTGACTGATAAAAGCCCAAATAGTGCTACCACCCTTGAGGTTTGGAGAATCCCAGGTGCTTTGATAGTGCTGGATTCGTGGTGGGTGGGGGCAGGGGGGGGGGAAGTTCCAGGGGGTAAACTACCCTTAATGTGTCCATCAGGTTAATGCAAGTTTATAAAATTCAGTGAATGAATACGTTGAAATTGAATACAAATTATTCTCCATGAAAGGTTCTTTGTTCACCAGAGATGACATGTACTGATCTATAATGGTGGAAAATGATTAGCTGTACGGCAGTAGAAAAAGTTTTAGTGGTGCACAAGTTTGGATTCCTCCAGTAAAAAACTATAAGAACTGCCCCTGTTTAAGATCTCTGTTGTGCCCATGCAGTGGCATTTTCACAGACCAGTTTATTTTTAGATCGATTCTCCCACAAATTTTGCCTACCAAATAATTCTTTCTTTGTTCAAGTTATCTAATTTTCTTCCTCCTATTCTTCTTTATTTTAAAACAATCTGCCTTATATTGTGCACGATGTATTCAATAATGTAACACCTCCAAAGGTTTCCAACTTATTTACGTATTCTTCAAAAATACATCATCGCATCATAAAACACGATTTTCTGTGGCTGGCAATTTCTACCTTGAGCACTCGAGAACAGACCATATGAAGAACTCCTTTTCAAGAATTGGTGCAAAGACATGGAATAGATATGGAATAGCATTCCCAACAGTGATCATGCTCTACCTAAATATATATTTAAGAATACCCTACCGAGTTGGCTACTGGACATTTTATGTTGACGTGCCTACTTTAATTGACATATTTAGTAAATATTAAATTTCCAGGTTAATTTCATTCATACATTGTTTTATGTACCTATTTTGAAATGTGTATGTACTCACTGTCTTGTTAATATAATATGGTAATGTTCCTGTATCTGTCTTCTTTATTGTTATGCTTGAAGTTCTCCCTGTTACTGTCATTTTTTTTACTTTTCCTTCCTGCCTCGACTAGCTAGGCTATTTTGGGGGCAAGGATCAATGGTTATGATATGTATCCAAAGTGTTTTAATAAACTTGAACTTCAACTTGAACCTCTTACAAATCAGGCAGCAAAAACTGGAGGCCAGGAAACAGCATTTCTGATGGTTTCCTGGCATCCCCTTTTTTGTTATTTATTGTACTGTGGATATGTACACATACAGGACAGTGCTTAGAACTATTTTTGTGGGAAAAAGGTCTCCAAAATGATGTTGAAAATAACTGATCTGTGTACATGCTGTTGCTTGGTCTAAGTATGGTAGTTGCATGCACCAGCTTATGAGATCCTGCTGACATTCAAGCCAGCTAAACTCTTTTCAGTTTGATGCACCAGTCAAAAGCAGTTTTTTTTATGCAGCTATATATACACCTGGAGACTGCGCCCAGACCTTTTCCTGTTCAGCTCTCTCTCCCCTTCCCTCCCTTCAATCCAATTTTGGAGCAGTATTAGCATTTTTTTACTGGTAAATTAATACCATAGAAAATTGTTGACAGTCATTGTCCATGTTGTCAACAGGCTTACTAGTATCTGTGTAGCTTTCTGGGCTCCTTCATCTCTGGGTCACACTTCAGTCTTCTTAGTTTTCCATTCAAACTGGACACACTGCAACCTTGATATATAATGAAGGACCCTGGTTAAATCTATATATTACAATGAAGGACCAAGGGTCTGGCAAAATTTGTTCTCCACATTGAGGTTTGCTATTACCAAGGACTTCATTATAGTTACAGTGGTTCATTATATCAAGTTTCCACTGTTGTAGTTCAATCTAGCATTCTTTTAAAGCTATCAGTCTCATAATAAGGTACATGTATGTTTCATATACTCACTCTTTTATTTTTCCTTCCTTTTTTTCTTCCCTTTTCTCCTTTTATTTGGACAAGTCCAAGCAACTTAAAGGTATTTACCAGTAATGTCAAGGCTGTATCACTAAGGGCCAGAGACCAGGGATTTCCCTTGCCTACCACAAGCATGAGCCCAGACTACTTCTATGGGAGACAAAGGGAAAAAAAAGCAAAAGGACTTTCTTACAGTTTAATTCCCTGCCTACTAATCGCACCAACCTGGCAACTTGAAATCTTAGTGACAGGCCTGAACGATAATGTCTGTATTTTTAATAGAATCATGTAATTTGATCTGATGTCTGTTTTTCAACTAGTGAATGATGGAGAAGGGATTTACACATTGATTACATTTTAATAATAATTTTATGCCTGGACAAGCTAAAAGTTTAGAATTTTTAAAAATAATGTAATCCCAGATTAAGTTTGGGGATATTTGTTCGTCTTTTTTTTTCTTTTGTCTCATTATTTTCTATGCTGGTCCCTATCCCAGAGCTTTGTTAGGTTTTGCAAGACAAGTATTTCCTTTTTCACAAGCAAAAAGATGGCAATATGACAGTTTGGAAGGAGAATCTTTAAGTTTATCAGAGGTTACCTGTGGCTTTTATCTGGGCACCTCTTCAATTCATTCGCACATCGTGACTGTTGTTTTTTTAATCAAAATATGATAGGTAAAGCTGCATTTTCTTTACCCTCAATAAGGGGAAAGTAATGAATTAAAATCCATTTGTCATGATTTCATCAATAAAGTGAACAGAATTTGCCTGTAAGTAACTTTAAATGCACTAATTTATTGAGTGATATTTTCTGTTTTCTAGTGTGCTGCTGAGCCAGAAAGTCTAGAATCTATTGACATCTTTAAAGACCAGATTCCTGAAGGAGTTGAACTTCATTCACTGAGGCAAGACATACTTCACTATGGATAAACCAATTTTTTGTCCTCCTTGTTTGTATAAAATATCAAATGTGGGATCCTTACAAGGCTGTGAAGTGCATCTAGCTATTTTTGCACCATTTTTTTGCTTAAAGAATGTAAAAGGATATTGCCTTTAATAAATTTGCCGATTACTTTGTGACTTTACAGGTTGCTTAAAGAGAGGAAAGGAAAACTCACCTCACACAAGAAAGAAGTGAATTATATAGTAAAAGTATGTTTATTTTTAACTGACATATTAAAGTTGATTATCAGGTTTACGACTGTGTGTTTGTAACTGTCACTGATAGAAGCGTACCTGTATGCAGCATGAAATCGTTATACATGCAATGTTTTACACTGAGCAAGATATGATGGCACCAAACATAAGCAAACTGAAAGGATAAGGTCATTATTTTTCTGAAATGCACAATGATCAATGATCAATTAAGCCATTTTCCTGCTTATATGAAGAATATGTTTTCACTCCAGTCCTCTTCCTATGATCTTCATGGCAACTACATTCTTTCACTAAGTAAACCTAAAACAACTACCTTTGGTCTTAGCTCCTTTTCTTACTTTTCAGCTAAGCAGTGGAATGCACTGCCGGACTTTTTTCGTACCAGTTTTTTTGCAGACTTTAAGACCAAAATACAGGATGTTACCTTCATGTAGATTCTTTTTGCCTGACATACTTAAACTTAAAGTTGTGAATTGTAAATAATATTTTCTTTTCTTTTCTCTCTTATTTTTATGTGCTTATTATTATTAATATTATTTTATTATTATTACTTATAATGCATTTAATGTATACATATATTTCTATATTATTTTCATGTAGTGTCAGATCAAAGATATTAGCTTGTTAGCTACTTGAAAATTCGAGTATAAATAAAGTTTTATGTTATGTATGTAAAAAGCACTATGTAGGGGGCAACCAAAAATAGGCGAAGCAACCACCATGGGACTTAATGGGATGTAAAGCTTTGACTGTGACTAAGGAACTTATGATTATAACATGTCTAAATTATATACAGGAAGTAGCACCAACAAAGGAGCCCTTAGCATTTCAAGAGGTTAAAACAGATGAAGTGATCTTGTCAGTTGCTATTTATCATCCAAGAAAGGTAAGTATGTTAATCACTCTGTAAGGCTTTTTATCATATGGCTGAATTTGAGAGCGAGTGGGCAAGATGAAGTGAATCCTGCACTCTGATTGGCTACCCAAGCGGGCAAGCTGTGCCCATCGTGCTCACTCGGGAATTCCGGCCTTGGTCCCAGGACATCAAGTAAAGAGATAAAAGCATGTTACTAATTAAATGTTAATTTTGTTTCACATTAATTATTTTGTTGTTGGTATTGGTGCTGCTGTTGTTGTTGTTTTCAAAATGGTTAATAATTTTTTCTGATATAATTTTTTTTCTCATCCTTGACCAGCAAAACAAGGTTCAAGAATTTCTCGTGTTAGGCAGTCAGGTAAAAGCTTTGTATTACTTTGATTGAAAGACTCTTCATCATATCTACATTTATTTGTCCAAGCCTTAAAAATTGCAGATTTATTGTTTTATTTTTTATATATTTATTTTCTCTGGAATGCAGGCCATTTTCAAGTTGCTCTGAACCTGTGTCATAGTAAAGTAAGTGCAAAGCCTTTGATAAGAACAAGTAAATTCAAGTTCATGAGAAAGGTTTTGCATTTAGCCTTATTTTGAAAGGGGGGTTAGGGAATTTGATGAAGGCCTACTTACTGTTTTAAAAAAGAGGGGCGATCATTAATTGCTTATTAATAACAACTGAAAAAAATCCTGATTTTAAATTTAATCTACATGTAATCTACATCCAATTGTTTTAATTCTGTTGCCAGTGCCTTACAGAATTGCGTGACAAGATTTTCTGTACAGCTGATGGAATGATACTTGGAGATCATAGCGAAAATCCCGATGCCCTTTCACAGCCAACAGCTAAGGTGTGTATGTTACAATCATCAGGTGACACCCTAATGGCATGTAGGTGATGGCATCGGCCACAGGCCAAGTGCACACGGCCCACTCTGTTATAGAGTTTTCAGAGCTGGGGATTGGGGTAGGGGAACACAACATGAATGTGCTGACTTTTACTGTCCGTAACTTACAAGTGGTACAACAAAAACTGGCTTTTCCTTGTTGCAAGAAACTGTTAACCTTTATGGTCGTGACGTAAAAAATATGAAAACAAAGAAGTCAGCCCAACAGAACCTAGGAAAACCAAAGATGCAAAACAAAGAAAAAGTTCACAGGTCCTTAGTCTTATACCGAGGTAAACCCTAAAAAATCGCCAAATTTCATCACTTTCCTTGTAATCTATCAAAAAATATTAATTTCCCCATGTGAACGATTTACTAGTACCTATTGTGATTGAGAGGGAAAATAATATCTAAAGCTTATTGAAGCATTTTCTCTTCCAGCTTAATTTCTCAGAATAAAATTCGGTGCATGTTACTTTTGGTTGAGTCATTGTTGACTCCATGAGTGCACGCTCAGAAGTAATCCCCATATAAATCGAACACTTGTTCATAGGCTACCGTAAAATTCCATGTATAAGCCCCTCCAAATATAAGCCCCCCCGGGGGTTGTACTTGGAAAATTGCCCTCAAATACAAAGTAAAACAAAGCAAAAACGGTAAATTTCCTTCGAACTATAAAGCTAGCCCAATCGATTTTGAAACGCAAATTTCCCTCCGTATATAAGCCCCTCCGAATATAAGCCCCTCCAAAAATAAGCCCCTCAAAAACGGCCTTCGAAAAATATAAGCCCCAGGGCTTATTTTCGGAATTTTACGGTATTTCCCTCATAATTATACAGGTTTATCTCCCCTGCGCGCAGAGATATCTCAAGGCAAGCCATAAAGAAGAGGAAAGAGCGAGAGAGACCTCTGCCAACCCCTGGTGCGTTTTTTATCACGCATGTGCTGGCATTTCCTTAACAACTACTAAGGTTTTAGTCACGTGGGACAAAACTGAGCAACCCGGTTTGCACGATAACAAGTGTGGGCTCAGAAATTCCAGCATGAAGTCTCAACAGGCTACGCGTATTTCAAATTAAACGAAACCGATCTTGAAAAGTGGTAAGTTTCGAAAATGTGATTGCGTCTTTATGAAAGCACGCCTCGGGGGCCGGCAGATGTCTCTTTTTTTTTCCATCATTTTCTCTCGCCGTGAGAGACCTCTGTTAGGAGGGAAAGGTTTACAAAGTTTTCATCAAAGACCTTATTTCTCGTTGCTTGGTAAAAACATTGCAGGAAAATTTCAAATCTGGATTCTTCTTCATTGAGGGGGTATTCTATAATGATAGAAGAGATCCATTGTCAAGGGATTACAGCAAGTAAGTAAGTTAAGTCGTGATACTTGTGTCGTTAACCTAACATCGCCTTGTTTTTACACTGCATGTGATAATGCTATCCGTGATTTTCTCCAAAATAAAGTTAAGGACGTTTTTATTTCACTCTATAAGAGTTATTAGAGACTGGGCAAAAGACCCTCAGAGAAGAAAGTGTCCGGGACTTGGATTATTCACTAGTAAACGAATGGAAGATATGGTGTTTGAAGACCTGAAGATCAGGCTGGGTTATCCATATTTATACTGCCATCAAGGAAATTGTGAACATCTTATTATTTTTACTGATTTGAGGTAAGTTTTATCAAAGACATTTAAACATTTTCCCTTTACGAGAACGTACACAAACGTCTATATAGGACTTTTAAATCCTTTGTAGCCTGAAAAAGTGTGTAAGTAAAACAAGAAAATTGGATGTTATGAATTTTTGAGGTGACTCTTTTTTTCAGAAAATTCCAATTTCCTAGAGTTACTAGTTGCTCCTCTAAACTCAGACTCTGTCCGTCCAGTTAAATCTCCTATTCTCTCTCTATTTTCTCACGGGAATACAAATGACCGCTCATTGTCATGCGCATTCTGTTCAATTCCGATTGTTCGTTAATCTTTTTTTGTGGTTTTGCCCTTTCGATATTCCATCGTTTGCTCACTCGCTTGCGCGTACGTTAGTCAGTTCCTTTTAAGGTAAGGTAAGACAGGCAACAAAAAACGTGCAACTTGTTTTGCCACATTGCTGCAAAACGAGTTGGAAAGCTACGTAATGTTGCCCGTTTTACCACCCTTGAATGAAACCTGATTTGTCGCGAGACAGGTTTGAACGTGGGTGGTTAAACGCGCAACATCGCTTTTCAACTCGTTTTGTAATGATGTTACAAAACAAGTTGCACGATTATTTGCCCGTTTAACTGTATCTTAGATCTTTCACTGGCCATGGCCCTTTTTTGATTATTAGACCAGGGGTCCAGTTATTTTTCTCAGTGGCAGATGCTAGTAGAACGAGAGTAATACGCGGACTCGCTTAAAAATTGGCGCGCGCGAGGAGAAAGGGCACTAAGGCAACCGATGAGTGGCATCTTGTTTCATCTTCGATTTTTGTCTTCAGGCTGTTGGATGTAGATGACGAACGAAACAGAAATGAATACCCACTGCAGGTATTTAAACACCGTGGAAAAAGGCTGAGATGCCGAGTTTGTGATGTCTATACTGCAAGGTACTTGTTTAAAATACTATTGTTGGAAAGAAACCTTTGCGCGGTTTTTATATATTTTTTTAAACTTTTCTCGTGGACTAGGTGGCGAAAATCCGTCGACAACTGTGGAAAATGGGTCTTAAATTCATTCAAGTTGCCGAGTTTGACAGTGATATCATTGTTGAAAACAAATGAAATAATAGCGAAGTTTTACATTCGTTTGCATGGTGAGTGACAAGTTTGTGTCATACAAATTACGCCTGTAAATTTCGTGAAAATGCGAGCCCGGTATTCGGGTCTTCGCCGAGTTGGTGCCTTAGCTTGTTCATGGGATTACCGGAAAGGTTTATTCAGCATTTTCACATTGACTATAATGCACCTTGTGTACCCCCCAAAATTTTGCCATCGTCTTCGAGTTGTCTTGGGACGACTGTAACACCCAGGAGAAAATTGGAAACAATGCTTATGCAAAATTTTGGTGGGTAAACAAGTTGCATTATGGTGTATGTGAGAATGTGAAAATTCTCATTTTCTAACACGTAAATGGTGTTCAACATGTGTAGTTAATAAATTGTCAGAAATAATTTGGCGACGCCACCACTGGTTTCCCCGTCAAATAACGTCTGAGAAACGAGCTCAGAAATTCCATACTGATGACGTGTCACTACCCTGATCTGGGTAGTGCTTCTGATTGGTTGAAAATTTGCTTCACCCAATCAGAGGCACTAACCAGATCACGCTAGTTAGACGTCATCAGTATGGAAATTCTGCGTTCGTTTCTCAGACTAGAAATAGTTTTTTTGTTAGAGGTTAACATAGATGAAATGATTACGCAAAAATGGCGACACGATGAAACCTATTCGTCGTTCGATTTTACCCGCGTTAATTTTACTTATACGCCACTTCCACATTTCCCATAATGCACCTTATTTGCCCCCCAAAATTTTGCATAAGCATTGTTTCCAATTTCTCCTGGGACGGCTGTAATACCCGGGAGAGATGAAAAACAA